AATATAATAACGTTAATATAACCGAGAGCATTTCAATCCTAGAGATAGTTGAACAAGTGATTTCTATAGCAAGTAAAACAAAATTAAGTGTCGTTTGTGTCATCAAACTTTTTCTCGTGCGCAACAGTTTTTGAATACAGAATAGCTTGTGCTAATTTAATGCAAGAGAAATGTTAACTCATTCAAGCATGATTAATATGCACCAAGTAATTTAGCAAGTGAGGTATACCATTCTGATTGAGTGTGATTAGCACGTTCTTCCTCTGCAAGACTATTGTAAGAAGGATATAAGAGAATACGAGTGTAGAAGGATTAAACACGCAATTGTGAGAAAATGGTTGCCTTTTAGAGGTTTTGCACGTCCTATTATGCACTAGACATGTTGCTTATTATGAAAAATGTAAGTGAGCTGGTCAGAAAGTGCCAATTCACAAACTGGCACATAAATGACCCTGTGAGCTCCCTCGGGTCATTGTACACCTCATCACGTTTTCCTTCACGGTGTATAAGCCCAATATGGTATAAAACGCCCTCAGAAAGGTATAGAAAAAGCCTAACAGAAATGTTGATTGCCACCAATAAATGACATCGGCATCGGCTCCCCTCTTCGAATAATTTCGTCCCTCTCGGAGAATACTTGATTCTTAATGATTTCGAGAATAAAAGACTGATTTCTCTTTGCAATTAGGGTTTACCACGGCCGCAAATCTAACTTTTGGACTTCTAAATGGAGAACTTTTTTTATGTTTAAAAGGAGAGAAAAAACAATCAGGCGTTATTCCTGATTTGAAACCTACAGTTCCTTTTTTTAGCCTGTGGTCAGCCTGCAGAATAGGCGTAACTTTTTCGCGTTTTTCAGTCCAACGGAGGCAAGTGCTAGGCGAGAGCGAAGAACGAATCACGCGTGTCTTCCCTTGGACGTGACTCGTTCTCCACGTTCGCCTCCCGCTTGCTTCCGTTCGCCTGAAAAACACCAAAAAATTACGCCTGTTCTGCAGGCTAGCCTTTGATGTAAGGTAAAACACTCAATTCTATTAAAACCAAATTCGAATCAATTTATAAGGTCTCAAACTCTTCCGTTTAAAACCGTTTCTTAACTGCTCGATAACTAGCTAGTGAAGAGAGCGGAAAGAGTCAGTCAATGGAAATAGACTCTTTTTGAGAGAAAATAAAGTCCCATTATTTTCTCTTGATCCTCTTCAAGTTGTACACACTCTTTTTTTTTCTTTTAAAGAACCTTTTATATGCGAGCGCTCAGGCTGAGAATAAACAAAATTTTAAGA